ATGTGAGACGAAGCTGTGGTGAAAGATTGTCAAGTAAGTACCTCAAGTCCACCGTAAAGCATGGGAGGGGACATTCAAGTCTGGGGCTGTTTCAGCTTTAATGGTGTCGGGAGTCTTTACAGAATAAAAGGCAATCTTGATAAAAAGCAATACCATTCTATTTTCCAAAGGCATGCTGTACCATCTGGCAAAAGGTTATGCGGGAGAGGATTTACCTTACTTCAGGATAACGATCCGAAACACAGCTCCAACTTGTGCACAAATTATTAAGGAACAAAGAAAATCAAGGTGAATTGAAGCTCATGGTATTTTCGCCTCAATCGCCAGATGTTAATCCAATTGAACACTTATGGAATGAGTTAAAAAGAGAAAAAGTGAAACATGACGTAACAAGCCAGGACAGGCTATGGGATGTAATCTCTACATGTTGGCATAATATTGAACCATCTACACTTCAAAATCTCGTTAAATCTATGCCAAAAAGAGTTGAAGCCATTTTGAAAGCTAAGGGAGGACATGGTACTGACATTCCTTTTTCGAGAACTTAAAACCTAACATTGTTGTAAAAGAGTGGCAATATGGTTCAAAACTAAAAATATGCATTCGATATTTAGTGGACTCATTTTTTTGGCACCTAGTGTAAGACGTCAAAAAATGACGATCTAAGATTATAGAAATCTAAATTCCTTTGTTTGTCTTTTGGAAAGTCACGTTAACTGTCCAGTAAAGTACTTGACTTCAATATTATTGATACATCAATTTTTTGCAGATAGAATCAAGAGAAAAAAGAAACCTATTTTACATTTGGCAAATAATTGATGCTGTTCGAAAGGAACTTGCTTCGTTTTTTATCAAACAATGGAACTCTCTTTACAAATCATCTCATGGAGAATGGGATGATACACACAAAAGTGGCAACAAATTTTACACTTTTGAAGCAGGAAGAAAATTAGACCAAAAAATACGAAAAAAATATCAGGATGGAGACACCAGTAAGTGGGACTGTACGACATTATTTGATGCTATACTTTTTTCAAAATCAATTACAAAGCATCTTGATAAAAACACTAAGGATGCTGTTCATGCACTTCGTGGTGAAAGAAACAAATACGCACATTGGTATGAAGGGGAATGCTCAGATGATGATTTTGATAAAATAGTCAATATCATTGAAAAATAATTTCAAGATTTGAAATTTTCCCTGGATGAAATCAATAAAATAAAAAATCATCGAAACTGTTTTTATTCGTTCCAAGTTCTTCCTTCAAAACCTAATCATTTTTTCGTTGAACGCACTGAATTACGAGATAAAATCATAGAAGATCTTGAAAAATTAAGGAATGATAACAATAACGAACTGACATATTTTTACATCACTGGTAATCCTGGCAGTGGTAAATCTCAACTTGCAAGACAGGTTTGTGAAAAAATATCGTGTGATTGGAAAAATAGAACTTCGTTTGTAATGACCCTCGATGGAAAAAACGAGGAATCTCTTTTAAAAACTTACTGTGAACTTGGATACCGCTTAAACTGTGACAAGTATAGGATTAAAAAATTTGAAAATGAAAACTGTTCCATCACTGACAAAGTGAAGAAATTGCGATCGTTAGTATCCACACGATTAAAATTCTGGCAAAATTGGTTGATCTTGGTAGACAACGTGGCACAGCTTGGCAAAATTTCTTCGTTACTTCCCCAAGTAAGTGATCCCATGTGGATAAATGGACAAATCATAGTTACCATCCAGAACACAGATGCCGTACCTCAAGACGATGAGTTTAACAAACATATTTCTATCAAAAGTGGAATGAATGATAGGGAATGTTTTCAACTGTTGAAACATTACACTATTGAAAATGCTGATGATCAATTGTTGAATGAAGTATCACACGCATTAGATCGTCAACCGCTGGCTTTGGCTAATGCTTGTTGTTATGTCAGTCGTGTAAACAAAGCAAAATGCCCATTTACTTGGAAACAATATTTAGGGAAACTTTATTCAGAAGAAGAAGAAAACATGGACGCCACTTTTAATAAATTTAACTCGGTATATCCTAGATGTATGTTACAAGCTTCACTTTTAGCTGTCAGACAAAATGCTGAAGAGTCCTTAATATTGGCAAATGTTATTAACCTTTTTTCCGTGATATCGTTTGATCCTATACCACGAGACATTATTGTTTTTTATGTTCAAGAAATTGATCCCAAACACTCAAAGGAAGATATATGTCTTTGTTTAAAGGACTGCTCATTGTTCTTGCATTCAGAAAATAATGACATTAGTCTACATCGCATTGTTCACAAAGCAATTATTTTTTATCAATCTGAACATTCAAATGAAGAACATGAAATGGAAACTAACGTTGATCAAATATGTAAAGCACTTTACATGTTTAAAGAGAGAGATGACGAAATCAAATTAGTACCACATCTTGTAAAAATTGTTCAATTATTAAAGACCAATAAGACAAAAATCAAAATGAATACTTTACAAGTTTTCCAATATTTTGTTGAGAGATTAGAACATTTTGGAAAATACGATCTTGCTTTTGAACTATTGGATAACTTTAAATCACAAGAATCTAGTTATGACAAAGCTTGGTATTTTAATATCCTTGGTCTTTTATACCATGACACCGGGAAGTATAGCAAAGCTAAAAATCATCATGAAAAGGCTCTGGAAATTCGAAAACAATCGTTAGGTCCAAAACATGTTGATGTCGCTTTGTCTTTAAACAATCTTGGTAATGTGTATAATGATACTGGAAACTACGACAAAGCTATAGAGTTTCACGAAAAAGCTCTGGAAATTAAAAACAATCGTTAGGTCCAAATCCTGTTGATGTCGCTGCGTCTTTAAACAATCTTGGTGCGGTGTTTTATGAAACTGAAAACTACGACAAAGCTATAGAGTTTTTCGAAAAAGCTCTAGAAATTGAAAAACTATTGTTAGGTCCAAATCATGTTGCTGTCGCTGCGTCTTTAAACAATCTTGGATTGGTGTTTGATAAAACTGGAAACTACAACAAAGCTATAGAGTTTCACGAAAAAGCTCTGGAAATTCAAAAACAATCTTTAGGTCCAAATCATGTTGATGTTGCTGGGTCTTTAAACAATCTTGGTATAGTGTTTGAAAAAACTGGAAACTACGACAAATCTATAGAGTTTTTTGAAAAAGCTCTGGAAATGAAAAAACAATCGTTAGGTCCAAATCATGTTGATGTCACTGCGTCTTTAAACAATCTTGGTACGGTGTTACATATAACTGGAAACTACGACAAAGCTATAGAGGTTCACGAAAAAGCTCTAGAAATTCAAAAACAATCGTTAGGTCCAAATCATGTTGATGTTGCTGGGTCTTCAAACAATCTTGGTATAGTGTTTGAAAAAACTGGAAACTACGACAAAGCTATAGAGTTTTTTGAAAAAGCTCTGGAAATTAAAAAACAATCTTTATTTCCAAATCATGTTTATGTCGCCGCGTCTATAAACAAGCTTGGTACTGTGTATTGTAAAACTGGAAACTACGACAAAGCTATAGAGTTTTCCGAAAAAGCTCTGGAAATGAAAAAACAATCGTTAGGTCCAAATCATGTTGATGTCGCTGCGTCTTTAAACAATCTTGGTACGGTGTTACATATAACTGGAAACTACGACAAAGCTATAGAGGTTCACGAAAAAGCTCTAGAAATTCAAAAACAATCGTTAGATCCAAATCATGTTGATGTTGCATGGTCTTTAAACAGTCTTGGTAATGTGTATAATAATATTGGAAACTACGACAAAGCTATACAGTTTTACGAAAAAGTTCTGGAAATTCGAAAACAAACGTTAGGTCCAAATCATGTTGATGTCGCTAAGTCTTTAAACAATCATGGTAGTGTGTATTATAATACTGGAAACTACGACAAAGCTCTAGAGTTTTACGAAAAAGCTCTGGAAATGAAAAAACAATCGCTAGGTCCAACTCATGTTAGTGTCGCTGTGTCTTTAAGCAATCTTGGTTTGCTGTTTTATAAACTTGGAAAGTACGACAAAGCTATAGAATTTCACGAAAAAGCTCTGGAAATTCGAAAACAATCGTTATGTCCAAATCATGTTAGTGTCGCTACATCTTTAAACAATCTTGGTAATGTGTTTAATAAAACTGGAAACTACGACAAAGCTATAGAGTTTTACGAAAAAGCTCTGGAATTGAAAAAACAATCGTTAGGTCCAAATCATGTTAGTGTAGCTACATCTTTAAACAATCTTGGTAATGTGTTTAATAAAACTGGAAACTATGACAAAGCTATAGAGCTTCACGAAAAAGCTAAGGAAATTCGCAAAAAAAACGTTAGGAACTACTCAGGTTGAAATCGCTAAGTCTTTTAAACAGTCTAGGTGTGATGTATTATGAAACACGGGAATATGACAAAGCTTTACTATTACACTTTGGTAGCTACGTGTTTCAAAGAAGATTGTACTTTCCAAATTGTGTTAAGCCTATTTTTAACACATAGACCGTAGGAGCAAGGCTTCCACCTGCCAAGTCAACTCCCCTCCCAAACAAATTCAGTTTGCACTTTATGAGGCAAAATGAACCTAAAGATGTAATGGTCTTTGTCTATATATGGTTTCACTGATATCTAGTCGATAAACTTACTCTACAGCCTAGGAATCATCCTCAGTAGAACTTAAAACTGCCCATGCCCTGAATCTGACATTCTCCTTTAGACTTTATTTCTAAAGTGATTTTTTTTTATGTTATAACCAAGTAGTAATTTTTATTGTATGATTCACAAACGTACTAAAGTATATTAGGATACAGAATCTTATAATATAAATTTTGTTAAATAAATACTATCCTGTTAGTTGTTCATATTGTTTGATACATTCAGTAATTTTTTACCAAGCTCCATAAGCCTAAGACCATATTCCAGGTTTTTATAATTTCCAAGGGGTACCCCTTTCATACCATAAATACCGCCTCACCATGCTGCAGCCAATTTTCCTGTACTGTAACTATCTCCACCATGAAACATAGAGTAAGAACACAATTGAAACCAGGAATCTTTTGCCATCATCAAAGCATCGTAAGCAATCATTGGTGCATCATGACCACTGGACCCACTCCAACCTGCATAACTCACAGATTTATAAAAAGCATCACGTTCAGGTATGTTATATGTCTTTGTAAACTTTGCTTCACTGTTTCCTTTCATTAATTCCCGTAGTTTAAGATATGACTCCCAACTGTCTTTAAAGTAGTTCCAGATATTAATGTTTTGTTCTACATCCCTACCAACTTTCTCAATGTATTTCCAAACGTTTGCTAAAAAACTCAAAATTTCTGCTTCCCAACTTTCGCAAGTATCGTTTGTAAAGCATGGGCTGTAAACAACGCTGCAGTAACAGCCCCTATTGTTCATTTCAGATCTCTCACATTATGATGAGCCTATTTACATAATAGCAGCATGATACAGATTATGACTACTGTAGTGCAGAGACAAAATAAAAATTTGTTCATTTCAGATCTCTCACATTATGATGAGCCTAATTACGTAATAGCAACATGATACAGATTATGACTGCTGTAGTGCAGAGACAAAATAAAAAATAACAATAGCAAACTCAACTTTCACCATACGCCAGACGGAAAGAACTTGTGGAAAAGTGGAAAAAAGATGGATCACAGACATGGTTATTAAAAACAAAAAAAATATTAGAAGGATGGAGACATTTTAGATCGAGTTGTGGGTCTGGGTTTAGATATATGAACAAGCAAAAAACTCTCGATAAGTACGTTCGTTCTTGTGTTGTACAATACACTCCGTTTCGCTCACATACGTCTTACAACTGACTCGCTTCTCTCACTCTCTCTCAACTATCACTCCACTCTCTCTCCACTCACTTCTCTCACTCTCTCTCAACTATCATTCCCTACTCTTGACGTCATTACTGATATTTCGTGCATGTTACTAACAAATAATAAATGATGTCCTTATCAGTTTCTGACATTCCGCGACGCTCAGATTTTTCAGCTTAAATTGAGCAATGTTTTTCTTTTTGCTGATTTTGTTAACAATATTTTACGAAGAAATAGAAAACTTGAACTAAATAGACATGGCTTACTAGTAAAAAAATATGAAAAGTTAGGAAAACTCGCTAAATTCGTCAGCGCGCAAGGATTGCAAAAACTATTGATTGAAACAGGTACTTAGACTTCCAATGGTTTGTCAAACAGTAAAATTGATGCAAATAATAAACAGTTTTAGGATGAGAATTATGCCAAAGGGTCTCAATCCGACACATTTCAAGCTCTTTTTTAAAATTAGGCCAATCGACTAATTATAAACTAATTAGTTAATTCAATTACGGCAATGGAAAGTTTTGTAATCTGGGTGTGAAATCGTTTTGACTTGTGATTTTAATAAACTTAAATTTTGACGTCTTACAGATCAACTCAGATTGCCAGAAACAATTGTTAAATGCACCTTAAATCTACAACGAAACATTGCAGTTGATGTTAACAAATCTTTATAATTTCTACAAGACTACAACAAGGATTCTTTATCAGCTTCCTCTCCATTTAATTTATCAGATTACACAGTAATGTATAGTTACATTATACCAAGCGTTAGATCACTTTTACCAACACATAAGCCAACAAACGCCTATTTTCTCCTATTCAACTGAAACGCGCAAAAGTTCCACCATCTTATTCAAGTATATACAGAAGCGTACATAATTAATTCGATTTGACGAAATTGACGAAAATCGTGAAAGTGACTGTCTTTGCAATATTTGCCGTAAGTTTTGATCCCCACTCAAACGAGAATTAACAGTGTTAACATTTTATTTTGCTGTAAACAAAAGGAAACACAGTGATTAAAAGCAAGGATGTCGGATAAATCCCAAAATTGCAGCTTCATGCTATGAGAGCCATACTTGGCTTATAAACGAGCAGCTAAAAGTCTAAAAATTTGTAAAGAGACGGTTTGATTCCAAAAGTACTTCAAAAATACTTCAATCCAAAAAATACATATGAATACATCATTATCCCAGACTTCTCGTGTTTTTGAAGAACGTATTCAACCTTTGCAAAACAAAACTTAACGGGTCCCGGGGGGAGGAGACTGCATTGTTAAAGTTATTAAAGCAAGTTTAAAGCCACAAAAGTTCTGTTTGAACACAAGACAATATGACTTTTCCTTCTGTGGTATTAAATTGAAGTTTGCAGCAAACTTTTTACATGCGCGTGGTCTCTTTTGACCTGTTGCCAAGTTTTGGTATCTTCAAGATAGGCAGCTACGTGTGGATACACAAAAACGCATCAAATTCGCATACGTGTGGACGCGAAAAGTTTTGAATCCAGAACAAAATGTTTGCGGATACAAACGAATTCAGATACGTGTAGACGCGGCTAATAAATTCTGACTGCGCCGTCGTGAATTTCTATCTAATGCTCGGACTCTTAATCCCATAGAACACATGTAACCCTGCTCTAACCTTTACTTAATTTCAGAAGTGGTAAAGTAATTAAATTCGTATGTGTTTACTTAAACCACAGAATATGAAATTAACAGAAGGATAATTTAGTGTCGAAGCCTTTGAAGTCAGTGTCGTCGTGTATGTCTCATTGCGCATGCTAGAAATTCGACGGCTACCATTACTCTGGCAAGTACTGGCTGATTTGTATATAATTGTATTGTGTAAGCATTAATTTACACATTGTGAAGATTTACTTTTGAAATCTGCGTTCTAATTATCAGAACTTCATAATACAATGTAAATGCTACCAATTTGTCTTTAAAAGCGCGATTCTCTTACACAAATATTCCATTGTACTGTATAGTTTATAGTAGTTAGCAACCGCAGTACTTGCCAGAGTAATGGCGGATATGACGTAAGCGCATAAAAAATATGGGACACATCGCACCCCTGAGTTGGCCTCCTGTTCATTTCCTATTCTGTGCTTTAACGTAAGTTAGGTCCATTTAACTTTGTAGAGATGAAATCTAAGTACTTTGTCTTTACTGGCAAAGTAAGAAATTTAAGGAAGGAAACAACAGGTCTGGTTATAATCTTTGTAATGTGAATGGTTTTACTATTCGCCACTAAAAGGTTAAATTTAAAGTTGTTAATATGTTCAGAAAGGACGATGCATGATATCTGAACTGTATGGGTTAAATATGGAGGTTACACCATAAATGGATGATATAAAGTTAATGAAAGAACATTGTATAGCGTCATTTGTATGTGTGAACATTTACATTGATGTATGAAAAATGACTATATTCTATAAAGATGAAAAGAGGCAAATGCAAAAGAGGAGAATGAAAAAACATGATCCAGATTTATAGAAGTGAAATGCGTTCATATGTGTTAAACTTTGTTTGCATTAATATGAAGTTATGAAGGATCACGGTGGTCTATTTTTACAGTTTGAATACAAACAAAAGAAATCATCTTTAAACTATGATTTTGTAACCAAATCTTTCAATCTGTAGTTGTCAATATAAAGAGACCATGTCTTGACCAGGTTCAACGCGTTTAAATAAAAAAAATCGTTAGAATCTTACGATTTCTTTTGAGTTTTAATGTCGTTATGCAAAAGTAACGATGCATGATGTTGTAGGGTAGGTTAGGATTCATAAAACCTTAACGAATTTAAACACTAGACTTTAATTTTGACCAAATCTTCATTGAATCTTGCAGTCATATCTTAATAAGATAAGTTTCTGAGAATGGTTTAAGGGCGTTTAGATTGACCTCACCAACATCTTCAAGCCCAAAATCATAATATTAGCACAGAATAATGACGATACAGAAGGGTCACTCAGGTGTTCAACGTGTCCTCACGTAGGCCATTATTCCAGTTGATAAGGATTTCTCACTTGATTCCAACCATTAAAATTACATGACATCAATACTTAATAATGATTTCGAGAATATTTTGACTTTAGAAATGACTTCGGATAATTTTGAAGGGTGGGAAAAAGTTAAAACCCCTAATCAACTGGCTGGAATAATGGCGGCCACCATTTGCGGCGCGACATACGCGAGAACAAAAACATCAAAGGTTCCGGCACGAGTGACCCTTCTGATCTGAAAAAATTGAGACCGCCAACATCTGAATGCTACTGAACAAGGACATACAGTACATATTTAAACATTTAAAAGACACGATGTACTGATTTATACTATCAGTATCACGTCTAAAGTGTTGATAGCAGCAGCAAAAAGAAATTTGAAAGAGGAAAACCCTTATGAAATGTGTTACACACGTAGCTACTTGTTTCGATATCATGTATGAAAATAGATCCTACGGCTGGAAAACTACAAATCTAAGTGACTAAAGTGACGATAAATGATAATTTGTTTTTGGATTTATCTCTATGGTTCTTGTGAAAATCTCAATGGTTTTTATTAATGCTACTGATTTTTGGTTTGTTTCTTCAATGTCACATTAGTCATAACTGAATATATGTAAGGAATATAAATACACTAAATTTGCCATCTGTCTCCAATGCACTATGTGGTTGAATGTATAGAAGTGCAGTTTTCAAAGATTAAGGTGTAGACTTGCAACGAACGAGAGCCGTAATTGTTTTTTGCTAGTTTTTCTATGACTCTCTACTATATTTTTAGTAGTAGAGCAGCGGGAAAACAGAACGCCCTTAAATTCTCTCCTAACCTTAACTTAGCAACATATGACTGCAAGATTCAATGAATATTTGGACAAAATTAATGTCTGGTTTATAAATTCATTATTGTCTTATGAAACTTAACCTACAACATCACGCATCTTTGCTTTGCAAAGGTTATCGCATAATTTTGATTATAATTATCCGACAGCTGATAAATTTGAATATAAAGCCATCAATGTATCCGTGAAATGCAAAGCCATACGGCTTCAGTTTATGTTACCCGTCGGCTTCAATTTATCTTACCAGTTGAATTTAGGGTGTGGATTCAAATAATTTCTTATTATTAGTCTGTTTGCTCGTCGAGATCTCTTTGCTTCAATAATATACATGTATGGAATTTTTGATTAGTGAAGTGAAAAAATCCATTTAAACTTTCAAAAATTGTGTCTTAATCATTCACATTCAAATTCTATTTTAGAAAGGTGATCCATTTATTCCTGAATTTAAACTTGTTAAACTTTATATTATTTAACAGTAGTCCTTTGGAATTTGACTCATTTCAATGTTATTATGTATTCTGCATAAGTTCTCATTTATGTATTTTTATTTCTATAACAATTGTTTTTAGTCAGTGATGTATACTTAGTTATATAACTAGAATGTTCTACATAGATGTTATTAATGTTTTATAACACTGCTTGTTGAAAGGGATCCTGACTCACTCTTCATCTTCGTTCACTGCTTAAACGTGTTTACGTAACAGAACTTACATGGATAAAAGATTGATTTAACAAATAGGTATGAAATATGGTCATCATTTTTAAACTGATATGTATGTGGTTGCGTTCTTTATATTAAATCTCTCATATTTGTAAGGTATATGACATGTAAAGAACTGAAGCAAACATAATTATGTCGACACGGTCGTCATATATGAAGTCTTATTTCTAAAACGTACGTAATTTGTCGAAAGTAAAGCGAGATTATGGAACTATATTATTAACTTTATATAACAAATTTGCTACTGAAGCATCTCGATAATGTATGACTAAACATGCAAGATAAATCATATTTAATTTGATACACCAACTTTTTAACTATTGACAATAAGCTGCATGGTAAAAGACAGTAAAACTAGCTCAAAAGTATGGGGGCAGAATAACATGAGAACATTTTCTACAGGTACGACGCTGAATTTTTCTTTATTGATTATACTTGTCTATGGAAAAAAGGGATATTTGTAAAAATTTATATTCACATGTCCAACCATGCATCACCTCCCTTCTTTGCTGACGCCACTTTTGACTAATCTCTTCGTGTGTAGCAAAATGTTCATAGTTGTATACAACAAACCATTTCTTTTAGAAATAAGAAAATTTGAAAAAAAAAGAAAAAGTTAAACACAGGAAGAATATAATTACACACAGAACACGACCGAATCTATTTTTTGTGAAATGTTGATTCATGCAACACAGAGCTTTCAAAACTATACTTTTGATCAAATGTTAGTTTAACAGTGTTAAACTTTACTTTCATTGCATCCTTTACTGTTATATGTATAGTGTTCTTTTTATTGATCATAAGTATTTACAAGAGCGTGCAGTTGATAATTAAAAGGTATTAATAATTTACGCTTTGTTATTCAATAACAAAGGTCTTTTTATAATATAAACTGATTTTTGCAATAATATGCATGTATGGAATGTATAATTAACAAAGTGAAAAATCGATTTAAAGTTTGAAAAATTGTGTCTTAATCATTCACATTCAAATCCTATTTTAGAAAGGTGATCCTTTATTCCTGAATTTAAACTTGTTAAACTTAATATTATTTAAAGTAGTCCTTTGGAATTTGACTAATTTCAATGTTATTATGTACTCCGCATGGGGTTCGTATTTATGTATTTTTATTTCAATAACAATTGTTTTTAGTCAGTGATGTACACATAGCTATAGAACTTGAATGTTTTACAGAGATGTCATTAATGTTTTACATCTTACTCCTGTCTTACTTTTCATCTTCGTTCTTTATATTAAATCTCTCATCTTTTGTTAGGTATGTGACATGTAAAGAAGTAAAGCAAGCTTAATTTGGGCGACGAGATCGTCAGATGTGAAGTCTTACTTCTAAAACAAAGGTAATTTTACTAAAATAAAGCGAGATATATATCTACATTACCGACCCAAAAAATTAGCTAAAGAATAATCTAGATGAAGTATGAAGAAACATGGATGTGAAATCATATCAAAGTTGATACACAAACTTTTTAACTATTGACCATAAGCTGTATGATAGGTAAAAACTGTGAAACCTGTTCAAAAGTATGGGGAGGAAGAATAGCATGATTGTATTTTCTACATGTAGGACGCTGAATTTTCTTTACTTACCTTTGCATCCATCTCTATTAGATACAGTTTGTGAAGAGGCCTGCTTATGTGCAGTGGCGTTCCTTTGCTAACAACTTTGACTTCTGCTCCTCTCTATATTATCTTTTTCCTTGATCAATCTCAATTCTTGCTACTTTCCAAAATCCTCTCTTCAAACTTTCCTCAAACACAAGAACTGCATCACCTTCTTTCGGACACAAACTACCCTTTTTTTTTCCAACCTTATGACACTCTCTTAAACTTGCTAAGTATGCCTTCCTCCACCTGGACCAAAAATGTTTTCTTAATCTCACTAAATCTAAACCTACGCTTGACCTCTCATGCATCTTCGTCATTAATATTATGCTGAGTTCTTTCGTCGGGAATAGATGTTAATCTTCTTCCAAACATAAGATGTGCAGGAGTGAGTACATCTACATTCACTTCATCTTCGTGTACATAAGTCAATGGTCTATAGTTTAACGTACCTTGTACCTCAACTAATATTGTTAACAATTCTTCCTTGTTCAATTTAGCGTTTTCCAACACCTTCAGACAGCCTTTCACCAATGCTACCATTCTTGCAAAAAATCCACCCCACCAGGGTGTCCAATTATCCTTCCTGCTCAATCTTAAAATCTTGTTAACTCTATGGCGCACAAACTGTTTTCTTTCTCCCCTCTTACTCATCGAGCACAATGCAGTCATACTGTCCAACCAATAATATGTACCATTAAATTGAGCGTAACATTCTAAGGCCGACTTCACTGTGTCCATCAACTGTGCTAATATTCCAGCTGGCATCACTTCTAGTGTGGGAATTGTCTGCAATTTTATTGACACTATCCTTGTTTTCGACGTAAGAAGCTCTACGTGGTAGGCACCGTTTAGCTCTGTCACAAAATATACGACCGCACAGAATGCCTTTTCGCTGGAATCTGCGTACCCATGCAAGTAACACTTTACCTTACCAAGTAAATTACCATAGACACATCTCGCCACAACTAAATCCATGACTCTCTCTAAATCTAATATCCACCTCTTCCAACGTTTTTTCTTGTCACCTTCCAGCTCATTATCCCATTCGGCTGTCTCAATACATAGTTCCTGAAACAATGACTCAGCACAAATTACAACTGGACTTATAATAACTAAGGGATCGAATAATCCTGCAAGTATACTTGGTATATTTCGCTTACTCGGGATGATTGCCTTTGCTCTTTCAGCCAATTTCCAGAGGCTAAATACAAAGCGATCCGTCTTACACTCCCATCCCAATCCTAGTACTTTCTCAAAACTTCCACTGATACTATTTTGATGTTTTGGCATAAGTTTGCTCATCAACCACTTTAGAATTACTAAATTCTGCCCTTCTTTCCTCTAAAATTCTTCTTTCTCTTGTTTCTATTTCTTTCAAAACATTCTCATCGTTACTTAGCCATTTACTATACCTAAATGTTCCTGCAGCCAATTGCTTACTTGCTGACTCATACAACCTCATTACTTTGCTCTTGGGTTGTTCACCCGACACTAGATCATCAACATAAAAGCTATATTTGAGTTTTTTAACAATGTGCTTGTCTTTCTCTATGAATGAGTCTAAATGATACTCCAGTGTTGCATTCAATGAAAAAAGAGAGCAGTTAACCCCAAACACTACTCTAAAAAATCGACATTCTAAAGGTTTCACCCTCTCATTGTTTACATCATCAACCCATAAAAATCTTAGACAGTCCCTGTCCAAAGTATCAACTTCTATATTCAAAAATACATTTTCAATATCTGCCACTAAAGTGACTCTCTTCTCTCTAAACCTTATCAAAATATGAAACATTAATGGTGTTAATTTGGGTCCCACATGCAAGCAGTCATTGAGCAAGGAAGCCTTGGGTGACTACTTACACGATGCATCATAAACGACTGTTACCTTAGTTATTTTTCTTCTCTGCAAATAACCGCATGATGTGGTAAATAATGTATTTTATCAGCTTTCTCTAGTTCCATCACTGGTTCTATAAAACCCTTCCTTAATTGATCTTTGATTGTCTTATCATACTCTTCTAAAATTTTTGGTTCCCTTTTCAGCCGTACTAAATTACCCTTTAATCTTCTTAAAGGGGAACTCCACCCCTCACATAATGTTGGTCTTAAAAGTTCTATTTCTATGCAAAGGTTACTATATTTTGAAATTTTTACTTCAGCTATTTTATTTTTGACAAAATCGGGTCTTCAAGTGCGCTATTTGAGCTGTTTTGAGGCTTAGCAGCGTGGGCACAGAAAGCGTCAGCGGAAATTATTTTGACGTCATATCGTCAAACCGATTTGGATAACGCACAGCCTAGCACAAAAACAAAACAATCGCTTATAATGGCTTTTTTGGAAGAACTTCGGCCTAATTCACCAATCGATAGTGAAATGGAATACAATCCAACAAACAATATTCGACCATAACAGTTTGAGCCCGAATGGCCGGCTGATGAACACGAAGAAGCTCACCAGTTTGAGGACAACGAAGAACAGGAATTTTTTGTATATTGAGGATGAATCTCGGCGCGACAATCTTGAATGGTGGGCAGTAAAATGTTATATTATTCTAGACCATTGTTTCGATCTCAAAAGTACGTTTTCAGTTTTTGAAGTTGACCACGTCCACACACACATAATACTTTAGATTTTAAAGTTTTTATTGTAAGATACAATTTTTATTGAAGTTTTGACATTTACTTTTCAAGATCCTTTCTTTTAACATAATCAGGTGTCAATGAGGTAACTGCCAAATAATGGATAATAACGAGGAATGTTTATGCTGCAAAGAGATTTCCAATATTTGTGACAAAAATTTAGAGGCAGTAGAAACGAATGAGACCACTGAAGTACCTTTGTGCATTACACAACATCCTGGATTTGAGCCTGTTTGCCTTAATAGGTGGGTTTTACAAACATCTTGGTACCAGTACAAGCAGCAATATGAGGTAGCATATGATGGACCCGAAGACAAACTGTACCACCATATTGCATATAGACAGTTGGCAAGATGGTGCTGGGGTATCTTGGGTAGAGAAGTGAGAGTCATCTTGCCATCATGTGCAGTTACTCGCATTAGAGAAACATTTCCTCCACCTGGCCCTGCAGAGGAATTTCAATTTGAAGGCTTTCACTATGTTGATGAATGAAGTATTTTATTATGATATAGGTATATCAATTACAATTACTTTGTATGTCAATGTTAAAGTGGCATAGCCAGCCCATTTATAGGTCATGCTATGCACATTTATTAATATTAATTTATTACAAAAAATAACAGATTTACAAAGAAATGATTATAAACGTGGCTTGGCTATTACACTGGTTATAATATAACTATAATTAATTACATGAATAGTTTGTGTAATGCAGTGGTGAAACTAGCTATAGCAAAAGGTTTTGCTTTGTTAATATTTAAGAATGAACATTTTTTAAATAGTACAAAAGTTGTCTTCTCTGATTCAACGTCATATTATATGGGCATGGCAAAACTTATTGCCAGAGCTAACGTCACCACTGACATTTTATGCAAATCTAGACTGAGGCTCCTTTACAAGTACTTCTTTCCTGAGTGGACATGATTTAGAAATGTTCTTTGGAAGATTCTCGCCATGATGTACAAGTTCAATCTCCTCAGTTTTGCATGCATTCACAACCTCCGCAAGTAGTTTATCAATGTACTGGTACTCTTTCTTTTCTTTCATTGCTTTTACAGCCCATTGCTTCTGTGTTTTAGCAAAAATCATTTTGTAACGGTCTTGCCCTTTGTTTGTCCCTGACTTAATGACTGCCTTATCATGGTTAATATTGTTGTTGTGATCTAATGCTGCTAACTGAGTGCGGGCTAACATTCCAGGAAATGAAAAATGCTCTTGCTTTGGGCAGTATTTCAGTAAAAAGGAATGGTAAACCTCCAACTCTCCTGTGTGACAAAACTCAGATAGCTTCCGCAGGTCTTTTAGAAGCCTCTTGTCACATATCACCTTCTCTGCAGCAATATATGCTTGTGAAGTAGGAGATAACCACTTTTTCTGCTTTGTTTCTCTTTCTGTTAATTGTTGGTGGCAACATTGATGAAAATATGTGTTCCCCTTCCAGAAATGCTTGTTGGAAATGTGGTTAAGGACAGACTTCCATTTTTCCACCAATTCTTCTGCATTCTTGTTACAACTTGCAGAGCACCACCAAAGATGATTAGAATTGGACTTAATCCAATGGGTCAAGTCATCATTTCCCTTAATGTTAGCCTTCTTTGTTAGTTTTTTTTGTGACAGATTTAGACAAATGCCACACATCATATTGGTGATTAATATGAGGGTGTTTGTTTTTCATAGCACTGGCAATCGAAACATGTCTATCTGTTGTTATTCGCTTAACAGGAACTAGCTTTTCAACTTCAGACAGACATCTTTCAAATGTTTCTTTCTCCATAGCATTAGAAGAACTGACTTCATTACTTTGCACAACATTAAAAGTTACTATCTTACCAGAGTCAGCCATCATTGTATAAGTACCATACTTGGCATTATGCCCTAGGCTATCACATCGACCATCACCATTCACATTAAGACTACCAGACTTCTTAGCTTCGGCAATAACAGCTGATTTTTTCTCTTTCTAAGCTTTGTCAACAAAAGATACTGCTTTTAAAAGCTGTAAAAACTGGTTTTTCCAATAAATTCGAGATTCATGAAAGATGCAAATTGGCTGATTCTTTCATAAGTGTTTCCACTAAATAAAGTTGATGCAGCCAAAAGCAAATTTCCAGCTGGGACATTCCTTGTGAGTGGTTGAGATGTCCATGTTGTGTGATGACCATTTATACAAAAAAAGATTAAATGATAGCAAACTACCTACAGTGTTTTCTTCACATTCAATTACTGTCTCTCCACAAGAAAGACACTTTGAAAGAAGACTAATAAGACAGGACTTGAAAACTATATATTTCTTTTCCTCTTGGGGTTCAATTTGAATTGCTTCATCATCAGTTGTAGAGTCTTGTGACACCTGAGTGAACCAGTCATCATGAGCATTATCACAAGGCTCTTCTGTTATCTGCGATGATGCTTCTTCAAAATCAGAAGAATGGCAATGTTCATACATTGAGGTGTTGCTTTCAAAGCAAGATTCCTCAACTTGAACCTCTGCATCCACAGTATTCAGCATCGACAGTGTAGTTTGGACTTCCATGGCATGTAAACTCCTCGCAACAAATGAGCACTGTGTTGATGCATCTTTGGTTTCTGGGTTGAAATAATTAGTTGGCAATGTTTCAGGACTGTCAGACTCACCCAAATCACAATTGTCATTTGCTTCAGGCTCAACCACTGAGAAAACATTTGTACTTGTGGAGGAACATTGTTCTAAAATTTTTGAAAGCTGAAAATAGAAAAAATAGAAATATTTAGAATATACTTTAGGCTATAACTTTTTCTTGATTAAAGTTTAACAAGAAATGATTTTACTAACTTCCTCCTTGTCTTCATCAGCCTGACGTTTCTCTGTACGATGCTCGCTAGACATACGCTTTTTACTGGGTTGAGGGCCAAATGAAAAGATCAACGGTACTGCATCCCGGTTCAGACGCCTTTGTAAAGGTTGCCATGGTGTAAGTTTCTGTCTTAGGTCCGATTTAAAACAATCGGGAGCAAAATGCTCGATGCAAACGTAACAGTATTGGAGAGGAGGTAGATTTTCTCTCCATATTCTAGCAATCCATGCCTTTTGACGGGAGGGGTCTTTCGGAATAAGGTGGAAACTAACACCTGAAGATTTTGACTTCGACGAGTAATTTGTACAACCCGTAACACAACAGTTGACCATTGTCGCAGAATTCGTTTAGTTCGTCCAACAAATTGATCTGCACTCTGATTCTTATTATAGAATTTTTATTAAGAAAGAAGTACGACTTTTCTTATCCAATAACTACTCTACTGCGTAGTCTCTAATTTTACTTCTATTTATACCAATGTTTTCGAGCATAGGAAATAAATTTTCGTCCCAAATGTGACTTAAAAAAGGGAAATTATGTACAAATAATTAGGAAACTATAAGTTCATACTTTACGTCAAGCAAACTACACCTTAATTCTATGCACGAAAGGCTATTTTTACAATGGTTTTATGTAGGATTATTTTCTAACCGTAATGAATTACACAACCATGTTTATTCTTATTCAATGTTTATTCAGGGCAGTTGATTGGTGTCACATCAGTGGAAACTGTTGTTAAGGTTGAATTCGGAGGACAAGCAAACGGCATTACCGCACAGTTTCCACACAAAGAAACTTTCGTATTTTTTAAAAAATAATATTAATCGACATTCAAATTCTATATGTAGTGCGGAAACTCTGCGATAATGATATGGATGTGAAACCGTTCTATTAAAACAGAATACAAATAACCAGCTCAATACTTGCATGTAAGCTATAAAAGCTGCTTGTGTATATACCTACGAATAAAAAATTCTGACGTTTCGAAAAGAAACATTTTGTGATTAGGAGAAGCATTTTGACACAAGTTTATTATGACTGTGCAATGACTTTACATAAAGCTTTGAGCAGCAATTGACGATATGACGTCAAATACAAGCCGCTGACATATATCTGCTCCCACGCACTGGATGCCCTAGCTGCAGCATTTGAACTCATTTTTTGTGAAAATAATGAATCAAACAAACAAAAAAATTGCCGCATTTTTATTTTCAAGGGACAGACAAAGTTTTAAGACCAACATTTTTTGAGGGTGGAGTTACCCTTCAAGCTTATGCTGTAATTTGTATCGTCTAAACTATGTCCTTCTTTCCAAGGCAATTTGACACTGTATCTGTTACCATTAAACACAATAGAATCCCTTAACAATTCATGAACTTCATCTTCCTCTGCTATTCCTAAAGCTTCAAAATCCTATAAACAGTTGACATTCTTATCTAAACTTAAATTTCCTGAACTTTCATGTGCAATGAAGTTTACTTGAGTGTGCATGTCATCCAAATCAATTCTCGCTTTCGTGAGGCTGGACAACACCCAACCTAACTTAGCAGACACAGAAACAGGCTCATCTGCCTGCCCCCAAACAACATTGCCTTCCTGAAACCACCAAAGATAATCTGCTCCAATCAAAACTTTAACATCTAAAACTTCCTTATCCTTGCAAACATCTAAAAACCACAGACCCTTTAAATGTGAATAATCCATCTTTCTTAACTTTACATGTTCATTCCTAATTTGAGATATAGAGTCTACACTATATGCCTCGATGCTTACACTCTCTCCCTTTGTAACTGGCAACTCTCGCAACTTACCTTTAGCCTTCTCTTGAGAAAAAGGCTTGATTTCTATCCATTATTTCCTACTAGCCTGAATACCTGCTCCCTGTATAATCTTTCTATTCACAAATGACTTGTGACTTCTTGAATCAAATAACACTCTGACCCTAACACGTCCCTTATCTCCTATAATAAAAGCCTGTGCTGTCTGTAATGCTATCCTACAATGACATCCCAGAAAAGAATGGTTGGTTTGAATATGACCTGTAAGAATCCCATTGGCTTCACAATTGACCTATGGTGTGCCTTCCCACATGCATTACATTTATCATTACTATTACAATTCTTACTGACATGTCCTTTCTTCAAACAAATAAAACATCTTCCGTACTTACGAATGAGTTGTTCTCTCTCAGTTACATTGGTTATTTTCTTACATTCCTCTGGATTGTGTTCCCGAGACAATTAATGCATTTTCTTTTCGCTTTACCGTTCGTTGACACCTCGTTGCATCTTTCGTGCTTCGCGTGCAGTGTTAATGTTGACCCCATATGTCCCCATATGTCTTTGTCGCGACTTTTCTCGATGTTTCTCCCCATCCTGTCACTTGGTTTTCTCGCCGATCGGTGTGTGAGCTTCTCGAAACTCCAACTCTTTAAGAATTGCGTTCGACGCATCTTTCATTGACTATTCCGTGAAATCGAATCCTCTTGTTATTGTCAATGGAAAAGCGTTCGGCTACTTCACATTGACTTCCGGTATTAGAATTGAAGAATAAACGGCTTCGTCCACTCCTAAGGCCTTTAAACCCCGGTAGCTTGTCTCGCAGGTGTCGTATGACCGCCGAAGCTTGTTCATGTCTCTTTCGTCTGCTATGGGTTTTACGTTCATTAAATCCTGGATATGCGCTTTCTTGATCACGTTCTTTTCCCCGTATCTTCATTTTAACAATCCTACAGCTTTGTGATACTTCGCTGAAGTTAGGGGAAATCCCGATATTGTCGATCTTGCAGGTTCGAGTAATGAATCCTTAAATATGCAAACTTGTCTACGTCAGCCAATCCGTCATTATTATTCACTGCACTAGCAAACGAATCCAAAAACTCTTGCAATTCTTGCAGCCCTCCGCTAAATTTCTTTACTTCGAACTTTGGGAGTTTTGCTCTTATAACTCTGCGCGTCTCACTCTTCAAACTGCTGTTCAGCGGGCCATTTAATGCCATTGTTGCCGTTTCAACTTAGACATCAGACTCCTTGACGATGTCGCTCACATCCATAATTGCTTGCTCGAATTCTGCCCGTATCTCGTCTGCATCTTCAATTTCTTTTCCCAATTCTTTTTCTGCATTTTCCTCATTGCTTTCACTCAGCATATCGATAATCGCGTCATCAAGGATTTTCAATGTTGCGATCTTGTCGTTCAATCCATCTCGTAGTTGTCTCAGTTTGTTTCTATCGATTTTGCCGTCCGTTTCTCTTATTTTCTCTTTTAATTTACTAGCAATTTTCCTCGCTGATCCTCTATGTCCTGCGCGCACTCGTTTCTTTCTCATAAATTCATCCATTATGCTATTGAACTAACAAACTTGAATTTCCAAATAGATCTCCAACTAAAATATCTCCGACTTGAAGGGCCACGTGTAGCAATTTTCTCTTTTGCACGTTAGCACAAAGCAGTTATACGTCTGCCGATTCGTTTTTGGGACTGTATACTATCCTACTGAATGCGCAGTCGACACACAATTTTCAATTTTACTCAATATAACTATTCCACATCACAGATAATCTTAAACATGTCATGCTTTTACATTAACATCCAGCGTCAGAAGAACCCTGACTTTCAACGTGTCACAACTAATAAAGTATTAACATAAGTTCCCATTCCCGTTCTTCCATAAATTCCTAGTATCAAATAACAATTATCAATTAGCTATTTACATAAGTTCCGACAATCAGATTTCAAATACATATTCCATTATGGTGCTGTCAACATTGAAGCAAAGAATTAAACCTGTTTGAGGAAATATTTTTCATTGGCCTTATAGTCCCTTCAAATTTACAACATACACGAAAAAAACACACATTAAGGTACGCTAGACACATAGTATCTTATGATCATTACTAAATATGGCGACAGTCTCATTT